ACTAAATTTTAAACATGATTTCTTAATATGTTGCACTCTTATACTCTAATCCTTTATATTATCATGTATTATCACATCAGATGGTGTAATGCCTGTCTCTTATACACATCTAGATGTGCAGCTTCGTACTGGCCTATAATGAACATAGTTGATTTCTCGTAACCAGTTGGACTTGTTTTCTATTATACTGGCATCACCCCATCTTAAAAAGATATTAGACCGACTGGAGCGTTGCTTATCTCGCATCGCATGTTCAAAACCGCTCTGAAAATTATATTCATGATTATTGCCGAATTCTATAGCGCCACCAATCGACACTGCCTCAAACGTCCAGGAAAAAAAATTTCGCGTGCCGCCTAGCCCTAGGCTATAATTTAGCTAGTAGTACATTTAATATAAATAGTACAGTAGTAGTTGCCTAGGCTAGGTCTCTAGTAAGGCTAGGCCTTCCCAGTGTCACTACTCTAGTTCTCTAGATAGTAGTAGTAATAATTCAATTCAATTCATTTCTAATCACCTCTCCTAGGAGAAAAACCATCCGCGTACATTTTTGTAATATAAACAGATTCAATAAAATCAAATATTATACAGCACTACAAACAATGTAACAAATTAATTAAATAATGTACAATGTTGAAATTATATAATCCACTCAAAAAGTTATATTATAATAATAATAAAATATAATAGAATAGGGTAGAACCTATATAGTATTAGTATAAGCTAAGTTGATTCCTTTCTTTTGAGCCGCCGGCCCCTAAGCAATACAATGACCGGTAGGCCCTACCTCTACCTTGTGTTAATAATCTTTAATGCGTATTTAGGCCTTTATTTAGTCTTTTATTTTTTTTATAATAGCCTATAGGTCATCGTCCAACAAAATATCATGTAATATATTTTCTTTCACATTTTTTCAGTTCCTTTCTGTCCCTCCCGGGGTATCAACGTTTTTTCGCGCTTTTTTCGGTACCTTTCAGTTACACAAAAAGTAGAACATGGGCAACTAAATATGTTATTTGGTGGGGAGGGGGGTTAAAATATTTAGCTACAGGGAAACCAGGGGTGTTATTGCGGATGGAATAGTTATTAAACCGTAGCCGGAAGTTGGTGCCCGTTCCCCCAATGTAATGGCCTTTGTTGCAAAAGAGCATGCTATTAGGTACGGTAATTAGTAAAATGACAATTTAGAGGAGGTGGGGGAGGGGGAAGGAGCAGTTTATAGTAAGATGTGTTATTAAGTGTTATTGAACTGTTTGTGTTTTTATGACGACAGACCTGGTAGCGAGCTATATTACATGTGGTGGTTGACGTGTTACCGTTATGAGTGTTGGGTGTACGAAGTTCAGATGATGCAAAAATGGATTTAAGGTTAGGTACTGTCTAGTAGTGGGGGGAGGATCAGAGAAAAGAGGCTTGATTTCTGTGTCATTCTGCAGGAACCTATAATCCTGATTTAATATTTTAGATAATTTATTTATTATTTCAATATACTATATTATATTTTAGGTTTTAAATAGGCCTATTTGCCTTTCATTATTCTTTTTTTTTTATAGGCCCACATTTATTTAATTTATAATAATGCTAAGGCCTATATTTTTTTTATTTGTCATAGCCGTTTCCTGTTCTTCTTGGTTTTAATTATGCCCTATGTTTAGCTAATCCATTAACCATGGATGAATTAATTCCTCCATGCATTACTATAGTACTACTTTCCCACAGTCCACCACTTGATCATTCATTGTTCTGCCTTATCACTGTTTATCTACACATATCATTAATCCTTTATCGTATGCAGATTTGTTTATTAATTGTGTATCACCAAGAAACTCAATATGTCCATTTTATGTCAAGCGTTGACTAATAAGAGTAGCCAATATAATCGCCCAATAATTTAGTGTTTCTGAAGTCAATATTTTCGTTTGAGTTTCATTACCGTTACGCTATATTTCTATGTTACAGCTTCGAAACACTCGCAGACACACTTTCTCTATGTATGTGTAGGGGGCCTATACATAGGATGTCTCTTATACACATCTAGATGTGTATAAGAGACATATATATGAGTGTGTGTATGTGTAATTATGTATATAAGTATATCGAAAGGTACTGTGCAACTTATATAATTTGATATTAATTTATATAATTGTTTATTTAGTGGATAATGAGCCTATTATTATTTTTTCTCTCTTTTTCTTTTATTGTCGTGATTGAATTAAACAAAATCGCAAGTTGTTACCAAGAACAACCTGCGATTTTTTTCGCAGTTGTTTTCACACGTACTGAGTTTTCAGTACATTATAGTTATTAATAATATTAATGATGGTAATAATAATTTAATAATAATAATAATAATAATAATAATAATAATAATAATAATAATAATAATAATAATAATAATATTATTATTATTATTAAAGTCACTCTGATAATGTTACAGTTAATTGGATTTTATTTGGGGTTTTTGGCTTAAGTTCTGCGAACTTATATTAAACTCCATCCACACTTGCATCACCATATTTAATGTAATTTAGGCATTTTCTTGAGTTTATCAAATTATAGATTAATTATTAGGCAATTTTTTTAATATTAAATTTTAAACATGTTTTCTTAACATTGTAGCGCTCTTATTCTCTAATACTTTATATTATCATGTATTATCACATCAGATTGTGTAATGCATACTCCAGGTGCCGGGGTGGGCCCGATCGTATGGGGATTCTGTGTTTCGGCGCTGCTTGTGTCGTCATCATGAATTAATTGGTGTTGGGATGTTGGGTCCCTGGGTCCCTGTACGGTGGCGTGCGTTTCGATGCTTGGAATGTGTATTATGCTATCTTATCTGAGATTAATCAATGGTACTTTCGGTTTTATCATATTATCTTGAAATATGTTTGCATATACCTTATACCATATATTGTTTTTCCTAATTTTTTAATTGTAATTTTGTATAAAGATTAAGTTGATTGATTGGCTGTTATGTATATGCATGTGTGGAAAAAACCTAATAAACAAGCATACAAACCGTAGGAAAGTAATCGAGTAGTAAAGTTTGGCGTCACTGTATTTAAATAGCAGATGAAAAATATAATTAATTGAATCAGATGCAGATCGTTGAAAACGAAAACTAGACTGAAAGTTAGAAAGATTAGACTGCACAACAGTATTAAGTCGATCACATAATATGACACTTTCAAGGAGTTTGCATAAAGGAGAAGTGACACAGGGCGATAATTATGAAAATTAATTTTATCAGATTCAGATGAATTATGAATTGGATACGCAATGGCTTCCTTCCAAACTGCAGGAATACAACAGTCGTTAACGGAAAGAGTAAAATGAAATAGCCAGGAAAAGGAGCACACAAATGATCAAACAGCTTAATAACAGTTACGAAGAGAATTCAGGACCTGGAGATTTAGAGTTACTAAGATTTTTAGATGCAGGGAGATCGTCAGATGGGGTGATATTTAGAAAGTCATGGAATAGAGGTGGGGCACATAAATTTGGGATAGAAAAAGGAGAGTCAGATGAACATTTATTAGTGATTATCAAATTAAACTACGAGGAAATAACATGAGGCGAATTAATGGGTGCACTAATTTGAAAGTTTGCGAGGACTTATTGCTGGTTGGTAAAATGTTTTGTATTTTTGACCGTCAGTTACATCGAACGTCCACCGTAAACGGAGCCATCTGAAACATCCATATACACCTTATTATTTATTGAATTTCATTTTAACTGAATATCGTGATGGACCACATGACGAGTAGGCCAATTAAATAAAAAGATTGTGAAAATCATATCTATTATCGGTGCAATGACGATTGATTCCATACAAACAATTACAAGCAATAAATTTCACCACATTTATCCTGTTCACACAATACCTAATTCACTTAAAAATAATTATCGCAATCAATTTAGGCCCTATATGCATGTGAAAGGAGCAATATATTGCCGGGTACATGCTGATTACAGCACAATTATCGGTTAAAACAATATTAAATGATGTTTAATAATGATTAATGATCAATTTAACAACAATAATAATAATAATAATAATAATATTATTAATAATAATAATAATAGTAATAATGATTATTGTCGACTTATAGCGCATATTGTAGACTAACCTCTATGCGCTTTACAATAATGATATCGATAATTTAAGGTGATTGTAATACGATAGCAATAATAATGACACTAAAGATAGTAACAACGGTAACGATAGCCATCTCAAACATCAATATACACCTCATTAGTTATTTAATGGCAACGGTATTAATTTATAGTTTACTTTTGCTTAATAATAATATTGTTTATTTGTTTCTATTTTTTAAGGTTCTTACATTTTAACCAAATAACTGAACTAAACCAAGGTGTATTCAGTGGTTTGACTAGTCTTCAAACATTGTAAGTGACAATCCAAAGGTTATGAATAATTGTATTATCATATTAATTATTTTTATTTAATGTATGGTTGTTTATAATTGTGATAAATTGTAATAAAAATAACAACAACAACAACAACACCACCACCACCTCCACCAACAACAACAACAACACCACCACCACCAACAACAACAACAACAACAACAACAACAACAACAACAACAACAACAACAACAACAACAACAACAACAACAACAACAACAACAACAACAACAACAACAACAACAACAACAACAACAACAACAACAACAACAACAACAACAACAACAACAACAACAACAACAACAACAACAACAACAACAACAACAACAACAACAACAACAACAACAACAACAACAACAACAACAACAACAACAACAACAACAACAACAACAACAACAACAACAACAACAACAACAACAACAACAACAACAACAACAACAACAACAACAACAACAACAACAACAACAACAACAACAACAACAACAACAACAACAACAACAACAACAANNCTGTCTCTTATACACATCTAGATGTGTATTATATATATATATATATATGTTTATATATATATACATATATATATGCTTATATATATATATAAATATATGTATATATGTATGTATGTGTATGTGTGTGTGTGCGTGTGTGTATGTATAATTATGTATATAAGTATATAGAAAGGTACTTTGCAACTTATATAATTTGATATTAATTAATATAATTGTTTATTTAGTGAATAATGAGCCTATTATTTTTTTTTCTCTCTTTTTCTTTTATTGTCGTGGTTGAATTAAACAAAATCGTAAGTTATTCAGTACATTATAGATATTAATAATATTAATGATGGTGATAATAATTATTTTTATTATTATTATTAAAGTCACTCTGATAATGTTACAGTTAATTGGATTTTAATTGGGGTTTTTGACTTAAGTTCTGCGAAATCATATTAAACTCCATCCATACTTGCATCACCATATTTAATGTAATTTAGTCATTTTCTTGAGTTTATCAAATTATATATTAATTATTAGGCAATTTTTTAAATATTAAATTTTAAACATGTTTTCTTAACATTGTAGCGCTCTTATTCTCTAATACTTTATATTATCATGTATTATCACATCAGATTGTGTAATGCATACTCCAGGTGCCGGGGTGGGCCCGATCGTATGGGGATTGTGTGTTTCGGCGCTGCTTGTGTTGTCATCATGAATTAATTGGTGTTGGGTCTCTGGGTCCCTGTACGGTGGCGTGCGTTTCGATGCTTGGAATGTGTATTATGCTATCTTATCTGAGATTAATCAGTGGTACTTTCGGTTTTATCGTATTATCTTGTAATATGTTTGCATATACCTTATACCATATATTGTTTTTCCTAATTTTGTAATTGTAATTTGGTTAATTTTGTATAAAGATTAAGTTGATTGATTGGCTGTTATGTATATGCATGTGTGGAAAAAACCTAATAAACCAGCATACAATCCGTAGGAAAGTAATCGGGTACAAGGTTTGGCGTCACTGTATTTAAATAGCCTGTGAAAAATATAATTAATTGAATCAGATGCAGATCGTTGAAAACGAAAACCAGACTGAAAGTTAGAAAGATTGGACTGCACAACAGTATTAAATCGATCACATAATATGACACTTTCAAGGAGTTTGCATAAAGGAGAAGTGACAGACACAGGGCGATAATTATGAAAATTAATTTTATCAGATTCAGATGAATTATGAATTGGATGCGCAATGGCTTCCTTCCAATCTGCAGGAATACAACAATCGTTAACGGAAATAGTAAAATAAAATAGCCAGGAAAAGGAGCACACAAATGATCAAACAGCTTAATAACAGTTACGAAGAGAATTCAGGACCTGGATATTTAGAGTTAGTAAGATTTTAGTAAGATTTGCAGGGAGAACGTCAGATGGGGTGATATTTAGAAAGTCATGGAATAGAGGTGGGGCACATGAACTTGGGATAGAAAAAGGAGAGTCAGATGAACATTTATTAGTAATTATCAAATTAAACTACGAGGAAATAAAATGAGGCGAATTAATGGGTGCACTAATTTGAAAGTTTGCGAGGACTTATTGATGGCTGGTAAAATGTTTTGTATTTTTGACCGTCAGTTACATCGAACGTCCACCGTAAACGGAGCCATCTGAAACATTCATATACACTTCATTAGTTATTGAATTTCATTTTAACTGAATATCGTGATGAACCACATGACGAGTAGGCCAATTAAATACAAAGATTGTGAAAATCATATCTATTATCGGTGCAATGACGATTGATTCCATACAAACATAAAATATTGATCGCAATCAATTGAGAACCTATATGCATGTGAAAGGAGCAATATATTGCCGGTTACATACTGATTACAGCTCAATTATCGGTTAAAACATTATTAAATAATGTTTAATAATGATAAAAATCATGGTGCTTTTTTTATTAAATCAATTTAACAACAACAACAACAACAACAACAATAATAATAATAATAATAATAATAATAATAATAATCATAATTGTCGACTTATATAGCGCATATTGTAGACTAACCTCTATGCGCTTTACAATAACGATATCGATAATTTAAGGTGATTGTAATACGATAGCAATAATGATGACACTAAAGATAGCAACAACGGTAACGATAGCCATCTCAAACATCAATATACACCTCATTAGTTATTTAATGGCAACATTCGGTTAAAACTCAAGCGCCTTCAAAAATAGAAACAAATAAACAATATTATTATTAAGCAAAGTAAACTATAAATTAATACCGAACTGAACTAGAACAAGGTGTAGTCTGTGGTTTGACTAGTCTTCAAACATTGTAAGTGACAATCCAAAGGTTATGAATAATTGTATTATCATATTAATTATTTTTATTTAATGCATGATTGTTTATAATTGTGATAAATTGCAGCAGCAGCAGCAGTTGTTTTTGTTGTTAAAGTTGTTTCTTTGTTCATATATATATATATATATATATATATATATATGTTTATATATATACATATATATATATGCTTATATATGTATATATATAAATATATGTATATATGTATGTATGTGTGTGTGCGTGTGTGTATGTATAATTATGTATATAAGTATATAGAAAGGTACTGTGGAACTTATATAATTTGATATTAATTATGATCGCAATCAATTTAGAACATATATGCATGTGAAAGGAGCAATATATTGCCGGTTACAGCTCAATTATCGTTTAAAACAATATTAAATAATGTTTAATAATGATTAAAATCATGGTGCTTTTTTTTATTAAATCAATTTAACAACAACAACAACAACAACAACAATAATAATAATAATAATAATAATAATAATAATAATAATAATAATAATCATAATTGTCGACTTATATTGCGCATATTGTAGACTAACCTCTATGCGCTTTACAATAACGATATCGATAATTTAAGGTGATTGTAATACGATAGCAATAATGATGACACTAAAGATAGCAACAACGGTAACGATAGCCATCTCAAACATCAATATACACCTCATTAGTTATTTAATGGCAACATTCGGTTAAAACTCAAGCGCCTTCAAAAATAGAAACAAATAAACAATATTATTATTAAGCAAAGTAAACTATAAATTAATACCGAACTGAACTAGAACAAGGTGTATTCAGTGGTTTGACTAGTCTTCAAACATTGTAAGTGACAATCTAAAGGTTATGAATAATTGTATTATCATATTAATTATTTTTATTTAATGTATGATTGTTTATAATTGTGATAAATTGCAGCAGCAGCAGCAGTTGTTTTTGTTGTTAAAGTTGTTTCTTTGTTCATATATATATATATATATATATATATATATATGTTTATATATATACATATATATATATGCTTATATATGTATATATATAAATATATGTATATATGTATGTATGTGTGTGTGCGTGTGTGTATGTATAATTATGTATATAAGTATATAGAAAGGTACTGTGGAACTTATATAATTTGATATTAATTAATATAATTGTTTATTTAGTGAATAATGAGTCTATTATTTTTTAATTGGATTTTAATTGGGGTTATTGACTTAGGTTCTGCGAACTTATATTAAACTCCATCCACACTTGCATCACCATATTTAATGTAATTTAGGCATTTTCTTGAGTTTATCAATTTATAGATTAATTATTAGGAAATTTTTTAAATATTAAATTTTAAACATTTTTTCTTAACATTGTAGCGCTCTTAATCTCTAATATATTAACATGTATTATCACATCAGATTGTGTAATGCATACTCCAGGTGCCGGGGTGGGCCCGATCGTATGGGGATTCGGTGTTCCGGCGCTGCTTGTGTCGTCATCATGAATTGATTTGTGTTGGGATGTTGGGTACCTGGGTCCCTGTACGGTGGCGTGCGTTTCCATGCTTGGAATGTGTATTTTGCTATCTTATCTGAGATTAATCAGTGGTACTTTCGGTTTTATCATATTATCTTGTAATATGTTTGCATATACCTTATACCATATATTGTTTTTCCTAATTTTGTAATTGTAATTTTGTAATTTTGTATATAGATTAAGTTGATTGATTGGCTGTTATGTATATGCATGTGTGGAAAAAAACCTAATAAACCAGCATACAAACCGTAGGAAAGTAATCAGGTACAAGGTTTGGCGTCACTGTATTTAAATAGCAGATGAAAAATATAATTAATTGAATCAGATGCAGATCGTTGAAAACGAAAACCAATCTGAAAGTTAGAAAGATTAGACTGCACAACAGTATTAAGTCGATCACAGAATATGACACTTTCAATGAGTTTGCATAAAGGAGAAGTGACAGACACAGGGCGATAAATATGGAAATTAATTTTATCAGATTCAGATGAATTATGAATTGGATGCGCAATGGCTTCCTTCCAATGTGCAGGAATACAACAATCGTTAACGGAAATAGTAAAATAAA